AAGCTCTCGACCGATGAGAAAAAAAAAACACATTTGTGTAACCATGAGCTATGAATAAAGCAGAATCAGTTGAGGAATGATTATTTAAAAAAAAAAAAGTAAAATTGTATACGGATTAAATAATTTCCGCAATTTTCAGATAAAACAGTTACTGCCATTTAAATAATAAAATGCATTCAGAAATCTCCAGTCATTCATTGTGAATAAAATGGCTTCCAGCAGGAAAAAGCAAGATGAAATAAATCTTAAAATTTTGCGTAAATTAGTTTCTTTGCCGGGAAATAAGCAATGTTTCGATTGTAATCAAAGAGGACCGACTTATGTTAATGTAACGATTGGATCTTTTGTCTGCACGACATGTTCTGGACTATTGTGAGTAATAAATATTATTGAACGTTGGGTTTTTTTTTTTTTTTTTTTTTTTGCTTTTGTTATACAAATGGAAGACAAAGAATTATCAGTAAAACCTCGATAAATTTATATCTTAACTATTTACTTCTCATTTAAAATTTTTATCTAAGCTTTTTAATCGTTTATTCTAATTCTTTCTATTCTCCGTTTGAATCCCTAATTTTCGTAATAATAATAATAATAATAATTGTAAGAATCAATCATTACAAAGAGGTTTTGAAAATCCACTTGAGGATTTTAACGTTTATTTTTAAGGATTCGGGTAGAGTTTTGGAAGAGGTAAAATGCAAATTCAATCATTAAGCATTGTTAGTACCCGAATAATGATGTTAATAATAACAATTGTACTCATGTATATGCATTGATTGAATTTTTCAGGAGAGGATTAACTCCTCCTCATCGTTTAAAATCTATTTCAATGGCTACATTTACTTCTGAAGAAATTGAATCTCTGAAATCTAAAGGGAATGAGGTATTTATTGGCTATTAACTCATTTTTAATAATTTACTATTTGTTTTTTGAAAACCATATCTAAAACTGTGAATGTATTGATTGTTAAATAGTATTGCAAAAAGGTTTGGTTAGCTTCATATAATTCTGAAAACATTCAAAATGCCAAAGATGAACATCTTGTTCGAGACTTCATGGTAGCAAAATATGAAAAAAAGTTATATTTCATGGAACCAAGTTCTGTTGTAAAAAATGGAGACTCTTCCTTGGTAGATTCAAATATTGCAAATTCAAAAAGTCCACGTAGCAATACTAAAACCAGTTTTGTAACGTCTCCTAAGGAAACGAAAAGTATCCAGGTTGGTTTTAATATTTTTAGTAATATTCAATAATATTGTGCAATGTTGTGTTGTAAATTGTGATTGAGTTTTTTTTAGTTAACAAGTATTAATGAGACATGTTCGAATCAGAATATTACTTTTACGATATTAAATTAAATTAAAATTCATGATCATTAGTAATTTATTAATGAAATTTTTTTTTCAGAAATTAATGTCAAATGAATCCTGAAAACTTTTATTTTTTAACAATGAGACTTGGAATAATATATTGAAATGCATTATTTTTGTTTACTATAATATTCTCAATCGATTATTTCCTTTTTTTTTTTTGAATCATGTTTATTAATTGTATAATTTATTTTTTTAGGATCAACTTAGACTCCCTTCAGTAAATACAGGAAGTGTTAATTCTGATTTATTCAAAGTTGGTACCAATGTTACATTTTCTCAAAAAAGCAACGTTCAAGACAAAAACTTGCCTTATAATAGAGAAATATCATTTGCAAATTTTGATAATAACCCTATTTTTAATGCATGCGGTAAGTAGAGTAATGATGGTATGGAAATAGTATAATTTGTCTTTTAGTAAAAATTAATTAAAAGGAGATTATCATAACTTTTTTTTTATTCAAGAAAATCAAAATACATTTAAAAAGTAAAAAAAAAAAAAAAAAAAATTTAGATTCATAAATCAGTAATACGTAATACTGTTATATTATCTCATTTAAAATTTTTAAATAATATCACTATATATAGTATTTTAGAGTTTTAATATTTCTTCATTCAAATCAAGCAATATCAGACATTTTAATTTATCCTGTTTGCATTCTAAGATTTTATAATTTAGTTTTTTTTGGTATACGTTAACGCGTAGATAGATTGTATCCCAGTAAATTAAATTTTGTCATTGTGCTCATTCCCTAAAATAATTTTTTTTTCTTATTATTTTATTTTATAATAAAGCATATACATATGTGTGTGATATATATTGTATGCTTTTAGATTTCAAAGCGAGAAAAAAAAAAAAAACAAAATTTTAATTCTTGAATAGTTTTATTTTTTATAATTCTTAATAACGTAATTAATAAATTGTTTTTCAATAAAATTAATTGAAATATCTCTTTCAAACTTATCATTATTATTAATTTTTAATTATAAAAAATAATAATAGTTTTTAATTTTGTTTTTTTTTTTTTTTTGTAGTTGTGCCCGCCGAAAATTCTTTTTTACCACCTAAATCTAATTCTACAACAGAAGACAAATATGCTGCTCTCAAGGATTTAGATTGCCTTATGAAAATGCAACAGGGTTCGCCACAATATCAAGGATCACCTGGTAATTTTTCAATCGTTTTTTTTTTTTTCTTTCTTTCTTTATTATTATTATTATTATTATGAATTAATTATTTGTTAAACAGGTAACAGTTGGTCGCCAAAAAGTTCTGATATTAGCGTAACTTCAAACCCGTTTCAAAGTGCACTCGGAAATAACAATTCCGTTAATCCTTTTCGATCTGGTTTTATGCAACTGGTTGATAATTCCAGCGGCGGCGGCAGCAGCAGCAGCAGCAGCAGCAACAACAATAACAATAACAACAATTACAATAATAGTACTAGTAACAGTAGCATTAATAATTATAATAATAGTTTTACTAGTAATACTAATAATAACAATAATGATGATAATAATGATTATTATAATAATATTAATAATAAGAGTAGTAACAAACAAAGTAATGGAGGATATGGTTTAAATAGAGGCGATAACAACACCGTTATATACAACAATGGAAATAATCCGTGGCAATCTGGTTATACTTGGATTAGCAACGATTTATCTGCGAGTCATAAAACTTTACCCACTTCAAGTTGGAATAGAAAAGAAGATGTAAGCGTAAGTTTTTATAAATTTTTTAATAATATTTTTTTTCTTTTTCCCCGGAATAATTTTAAATTTTAAATCGATACAAACGACAATGTATTAAAACCGATACACAAGCACAATTTTAATTTACACCTTAATTTAACTTGAATTTATTTTTCATAATGCAAAAAAATAGAAATTAAAACCAAAAATGACATTTTATTGCCTGTTAACGACAACCGTTAAATCTACCACTACGACTACCGTTAAATCTCATCCGTGTGTATTTTAAAAAAAATTTTTTTTTTTTTTTTGTGAAAATTAAAATGGAAAAATTGCGTAATTTGTTACAAATAATTATAGTTCTTTATATTAAAAAAAGATTTTTTGCACATCAAACTGAATTCTATCTTGGTAAAAGAAAATTTTAAAAAAAATTTTTTTTTTTAGGTGATTCCGGGATGCTCCAACAATCCTTTTTTGTAAAAGAAAATCTTTTAAAATTGTAAAACGATGTGCCTTAACAACTTATATCGATCAATGATTTCGGGTCACGATATATAAATTATATTATGAATTATAAAGTTCACAAGAATTAATTAGAAACTCGTTGCGCAAATATCAACCATTTTTCAAAAAAAAATTTTTTTTTTTTCTGATAAAGTGCCTAAAAAAAAAAAAAAAAATTATTTTTTTTGCTTAAAATTTTATTTTTTTTAATGGGTAAAAAAAAGAAAAAAAAAAGTGTGTTAACTAAATATTAATTTTAAAAAAAAAATTCGTGGCCCATAAAACTCTCGTCGACTTATTCAATTTATCATTTATTAATTAATAATATCATTTATTTCGGAGTCTTCGTGGGTATTAAATTTTTTACTAATAATTTATTTCATGCGAATAATAAAGCTTTGAAAAATAAAAAATTTTACGCTTTTAATTTGATTAAGTATAAGACATAAAATGTTAATTTACCGATAATTGTTTAGATTATAGTTATACGATCACAATTTCATTAATTTATTAATGCAAAAAATTGTTTTTTGATTTTTAATGTCATACATACACACACACACACACACATATATATGTATATATTTAAATTTATACTTTGCTTACAAAGTTTATATTAGTCAAAGAAAAAAGTAACCCAATGAAATTATCAATTATTATTTTATAAAATATTTAAAGAAAATTTTTAGCCATATGATTATTTTTTTATTATTATTATTTACCTTACAAATCATATTTAAAATAAAACGTATGATATTAGTTGGTTAAAAATTGAAATTTAATTGGCCAAGACTAATCAAGTGCAAACCGATTTTTTTTAGTTTTCTTCGTTTGTAACAAATTTGTAAATAAATGTTTTTTTTTTTTTTTTTTTTTTTTTAAATTTTTGTAATATTTTTTTAGAATTTTTGGTGTATATACACACACACACACACACACATATATATATATATATATGTGTGTGTGTGTGTGTGTGTGTATATTCAAGGTTTTTTTTTTTTTTTCTTTTAAAATAAAAGCCTGTTTCTCTTACTAGCGTTTCAAATTTTGTTAGAACAAACCATATTTTTTTTAATGCAATTATAATTTAATTTTATCTTCGAATCAGTTTCATTTTTTTTTTTTTTTTAATAAAAAATTTTACGAATTTTAATTAAAAAAAAAAAAAAGGAGAAAAAAGTATTTATAAAAAGATTAATTTCAATTATTTTACAATATTGTCAAGAAAATTTCAATAAATGAATTGAAAATTCAATTAAAAATAAAAAATTACTCTATAAAATGGTAATAAATTAGTATTAGTAATTATTTATATTTTTTTTAGTTTTTTAAGTTTTTATAATTATTTTTTATTTTATAATTAAGTGTTTACTTTGACTGATTTATTTATAAAATTACCTCGCGGAATAAGCCCTTGAATTGCTTCAACAACAAAATGGTGGACTTTTATATTATTTTTTCTCCATAGGGAATGTTTGTTCTCGTTTACCCCAATAATCAATTGCCTAACCCCCATATTTTTTATTATTTTTAATAATTTTTGATAATGCACAAAATAATTGATAAAAACACACAATTAAATTAACATTTTAATGTTCAATCAATCCTCATTGATTTATAATGTAATTTCATTTTATGTAAAATTATAAAATTTGTAATGATTTATTCTATTCCAGAGAATAAAATCAATATATGTGTGTGTGTGTGTGGGTGTGTGTGGTACCCGTCGGTACCGAAACAAATTTTTGATTTATTTTAAAGTCATTAGAGGTTTATTATTTTTAATTATTATTATTTTTTTTTTTTTTTTCATATATTTTCTGTTTGTTTATTTACGGTTTCATTTTATTTAATTTTTTATTTTATTATTTTACTTTTTTTCTTTTTCTTTTTTTTTTTTTTTTTAAACAAATTTGTAAATTTTATTGGTTAATTAAAAATGACGAAAAAAGTTACAGAACTTGGACGGCTGTTTGGTCGAGCTGATATTGAAAGATGCGATCTTTTCGCCGACTTGGGATTTTTGGATTGGGAGAAATACACGGGAAATTTTTATATTCTAAATGAAAGTTCTAGAAAGGGTAGACAGATGTACAGTTCCGTACCATCTGGCGGACATAAAAAATGTGGTTTACAAGGTGCTTCGGGATATTTTGATAAAAAATTTCAAAGCATATTCGTTAACGATCCTTACTCGGAGAAATGGAAAACAAAAGGAAGACCATCGGAACATCCGCTTAATGGATCATGGATACCGAGTGGGCCTTCCAAATATCATTCCACTCCAGGAGATTATTACGGAACTTTCACAAAAGCTTCAGATATGCCTGCCTTTAGCCCGTTAAGTAGATCGATTAAAAGACAAGGAAACGAATTGAAAAATTTTTTAACAAATCCTGGTAAAAAAGGAAACAGCGGTTATGTGAACATTTGCATTAACAAATATCCTCCGCATTCGGTAAATAATAAAACTGATGCGTTCACTACCGCGGAGCTTTTGCATTCTAAAAATTGGAAAAATCACAAAGAAAAATTTTTAAACGGTCCGTTCAAAGCTGGTTTTTTTCCTAGAGATTTTGACAGTAATCCTTACGGGGATCCGCGCGAGGGAAAGCCAAAGCCTACTTATAGAACCCCGACTAAAAAAGAAAGCGATAAAAAAGGGGACAATATTTTTTACCCTCCTGCCGGTCCGAAAGACATCGGAAGATTTCCCGAAGGTTGTTTCAACAAATTTACCTCATGGACTCCCGAACCTTATAAAACGCAAAGAGACGTTGAAAGAGAATTTACAAAAAAGAAATCTGATCCTGATAATATTTTCCGTCCGGAACCTAGATTAAAATCGTATTACACAGTTTCCGTGGTAAATAATAAAGTTGACATATCGTGTAATGAGAGAACGTGGAGAACAATGAAACCAATAACTTATCCTCAGTTTAATTTATGATTCATTTAAACGTTTTAAAAAAAAAAACCACAGACATAATCATTTATTTCATTGCGTAGAAAGAAAGATAAGAAAAAGTTATTTCAATGAAATGAATGATAATAAATGAATTTTAAAAACTGTAGGAATGATAGTTTTTTTTTTTTTTTTTTTTTTTTTTTTTTAATATAAAAATATCAATAAAGGCGTTAGTAAAATTTCATCACAAAAAAAAAAAAAAAAAAATTAAAAAATTTTATTTCAAATAATATACTAGTACATATACATGTGTATGTGTGCGGTAAACAGAAAATATGAAATGATAAATTTGATTAATTTTGTTTGATTTTATGCTTTTACGTTCAATAAAATATGTAAATAATAATAATAATACAAAAATTTAAATTAAAAAAATGACAAAAATTAATATTATATATATATATAATAACATAAAATTTCACGAGAAAATTAGGATTAAAAAAAGGTTTTAAATCTGAATAATAATGGAAAAATTTTTCAATTCGTAACAAACATTTTTTGAATCTTTTTCAGGCATTCGTCGGATTCTTTTTCCGCGCCAAAATTTTTAAATTTACGAGCTAATTTTTTTCCCTCGACGCACCAAAACGACGCTTCTTCATATAAATTCCGGTCTATTGTTATTTTACCTAATTTTACGTAAAAATATGCCAAATCCGAATTGTTAT